TGCTGCGTTCCCACCAGCAGCTGTTCTAACCTGGCTGTGCACCGGGTGCGGACGGGGGCCCATCCTCCCGTCTGGTGTACCCCATTCGGGGTCACTGGGAAAGGAGCCCAGAACCTGGCTGTTGGAGGTTGGGGACACACTGGCTCTTGGGGGGATCCAGCCTCCTCCAACTCCTGGGCTCCCCCAGTGGTGCTGGCCCCAAAAAGGATGGAACAATCCGGTTCTGCGCGCACTGTCGGAAACTCAACGCCATCACCGTGTCTGGTGCCGGCCCCATGCCCAGGACTGATGAGATTCTAGACACGTTGGGGGTAGGGGGGCCCGGGTCTTCACTACCTGGACCATACCCAAGGGACTGGCAGGTGCCCTTGGACCCCGAAGGGCTCTTTGAGTTCCTGGTCCAGCCCTTTGGCCTCAAGGGGGCCCCGTCCACCTGCCAGCGCCTGGTTGATCAGTTACTGAGGGGATGGAGAACGTCGCTTTGACTTATACTGATGAAACCTGTGTGTAGCCAGACCTGGGAGGACCACGTGAGCCAGGTGAAGAAGGGGCTGGCCTGTCTCCAGGAGGCTGGGCTGACTGTAAGAGCCGGGAAGCGCAGGGCGGGGATGGCGGAGGTGACGTGTCTGGGCCACAAGGCGGGGAGCGGGCGGATGAAGCCAGAGCCGGCTAAGGTGGAAGCCGTCAGGGACTGGCCCATTCCCCAGACTAAGAGGCAGGTCCAGGTTTTCATTGGGATGGCTGGGTACTACCAGAGATTCGTGCCCCATATTAGCTCCCTTGACAGAGCTGTGCAAGAGGGGCAAGAGGGCTCTCGGTGCACTGAAGGAGGCCCTCATCCGGGGCCCGGTGCTGGTCCACCCGGAATTTAGCAAACCCTTCCCAGTGTTCATTGATGCCTCAGACACTGGGGAGAGACACCCCATCGTGTACCTAAGCCACAGCACCACGTGGCCACAAGGAAGGATGCCTGGCCCTCGTGTGGGCTCTTAAAAAGCCGCAGCCCAATCTATTTGGGCAGCATTTCACAGGTGCACCGACCACTCCCCCGACCTGGCTGCACCAGACGAAGGGGGCCGGTTCCCACCTGCTACAATGGAGCCTGCTCCTGCAGGACTAGGACGTGGAGGCGGTCCGTGTTAAGAGGAACGCCAACGTTATCGCCGATGCTTTACCCGGAAGCAGGGCGACTGAACGTCCCCAGGTAAGCAGTGTTAGTAAGAACTTGGTATTTATTGGTAAAGCAGAAAAAAATGTGAGATGTTTTGTGTTTGTTCAATAAACATAAAAATTAATGCTCAAATGCTTTAAAAGGCATATTTCACGGATTAACATTTAAAACTGTGGGATTACTCACCTGTTTACTCTGAAGTTCTACTGTACAAGGATAATATTTGCCACAGGCTCATTTTAAAGGAAACCAGAGATTTGCAGAGATGTCTGTTTGTGCCTTTTAGGTCCAGGAAGATTTGACTGAAGAGAAGAAAAAGGAACTGGAACACAATGCTGAAGAGCCATATGGTGAAAATGATGAAAATGTGGGTACAATAAAATAGCAGATTTAGTTGTCTTTAACAATACTACAGTCATGGTAGACATTACACAATAAAGGGAGAGGCTCACTTTTAAGCACAAGTTAACTCTCACTCAGTCTCAACTTCCATTCCTGTTCCTAACAAATGTTCTTTCAACTTAGGGACCCTCGAACTCAAGCATCTACAATTCCTTTATCAACTCTTCCAGCTTCTCACGAAAACCACCCCTTTTTCACCTGCCCGTACCTATTTAATTGCATCTCTAAATTTGCTCCTAACCCTCCCATACACACATCAGGGCTACAAATTCTATACTGTAGCCTTAAGACACACAGCCCAGAAACTTTCCCTGAATCTGTGCTCTGTTGTGCATGAGGATTATTGAGTTATATAACTATTACATTATAACCGCATGTAATAGTGTAACTCAATAACAGTAGCATTCTGCTACTGTGAAATCAATGGGACTTTTGGCATTAACTTCAACAAAAGATTGGACTGCAAAGGATGAAATTTTCATCTCCACTGTAGCCTTCTGTGGTATAATAAAGTATTATAAAACCCTAGAACGATATAGGGGATAGTTCCCTTAACACAGGAATTATGTGGGACAACTGCAGGCTGCCTTATGTAGACCACTTTGCAGGACTCAACATGGTGGATGGGATTAGGCGCAGGCCTATAGTTCCACCAAGATTTTGGGTTATGACACATAGTCTCCAGAGCATCCTAGAATCAAGAGGCTTAAAGCCAACTTTGCACTCACTTCCTCAGACCTATAATTTCTGTCCTACACGAGAATTTTACCCTAACTCAGCCATGTGTTCTGGGTCATGCTATAATCACCACACAATATATATTAGTAAAAGTTTTATGGGTAAATGTACTTTCACTAAATCCTTCCATTTTTCTTTTTATCTGTCCAGGCTGATGAAAAAAACAATGAAGGTGCAGACCATGAGCAAGGAGTTCAAGAAGAGAACAACCCAAAAGAAGGTCATGAAGAAAATTATGAGGAGGAAGAGGAGGAGGAGGTGGAAGGTCCCATTTTCACTAATGGGGTGGGGTCTGGCCAACAGCCGTAACTGCCGCTGGAGAGAGGGGCTGGACACAGGCACCTGCAGCTGTTCAAAGGCTCCTCCATTCACTGATTCAGTTTGCAAGATGGCGCCTTTCTTCTGGCGCCATTCCCACTGCTGCCCCGAGGAACCCAACGGCCTGGGGCATGGAAGCCATCCAAAGGCTACTGGCCCAGCCCCACAGGGCATGCAGGCCGGGGGAAATGGCTACAAGGCTGGTGCACGACAGGCTGACAGACCGCGCTCACGGAGCAATCCATCATGAAATTGGGAAGGCCAATCGGCTGTAGAGTACCCCCCCATTCCCCTCATGCCCAGACCCCACGCCCTGCATGCATTTCATGCACCCCCCTGCTGAGACCCTGCACCCCCAACCTGCTCCTGTCCCCTCCCCGTGGCCAGACAACTACCCCAAGCCTGCTCCTGTACCCTCCACCCTGGACGGACACATAGCCATCCCCAGCTTGCTCCTGCACCCCATCTCCCACCCAGATCCTGACCCCCCAGTCCCTATCCCACTCACTGGCAGTCCTGTCCCGCACACTCAGAACCCATCATTTTTGTCCCTACCCCAGAGCCTAGGGAGTCCACAAAATGCACTAACCCTGGAACCCCAGAAGAGTTAATCTTGCCTCTGAGAAGCCTGAGTCTTTCCTACCCCTACCCTTCCCCTGTCGGGCTAGAGCACCAGGGGAGGGAGGTGTCTCAGTAGTGGGCCACATAGGTGAGGGTTGGAGGTTTTGGGGGGTTGCTTCTCACTTTGGTGGTCCCCAACTGATTTTTCTGTGGATCAATGGCCCTTGACCCAAAACACATGCCCCAAGCCTAGGGAGTCCACAAAATGCACTAACCCTGGAACCCCAGAAGAGTTAATCTTGCCTCTGAGAAGCCTGAGTCTTTCCTACCCCTACCCTTCCCCTGTCGGGCTAGAGCACCAGGGGAGGGAGGTGTCTCAGTAGTGGGCCACATAGGTGAGGGTTGGAGGTTTTGGGGGGTTGCTTCTCACTTTGGTGGTCCCCAACTGATTTTTCTGTGGATCAATGGCCCTTGACCCAAAACACATGCCCCACTCCTGCCATAAATACAGACGATGTTGAAACCTTTGGTGTTGGACATCAATTAATATTTGACTTTATTTAAAATGAACATGAGAGAAGTTAAAGTGCTTAATCTGGTTAATAATTTTGTATTGGTTAAATGAAGCCATTCTCCCCAGCTTCAGCACTTGCAAAAGGGCTCGGGCATAATTATGTAATTGACGGCAAGTTTCCATTAAGAAGTAGTGGGCCATAGAAAGGTTTGCGTTGAACAGGGTGAGCCAAAAAGTTTGAGAGTCACTGCCCTACACGTGTGTTCGTTTCCTCAGCTTCATGTCTGAGGAGAAAAGAACCCAGGAGTCCTGGGAGAGGAAAGAGGGAAGGTTTCCCAGCCACATCTTGAGTGTAAAATCCATGCGTAGTACAGCTGGCCTCATGTGCCTCAACCCAGGACCTTCTTCTTTGCCCTCCTCAGGGCTGCGGCCACGTCCTTGTTCCTCAGGCTGTAGATGAGGGGGTTCAGGGTGGGCACCACTGAGGTGTAGAAGAAGGTCACTTGCTGTTTGTGCGGGGTGTTGCTGGAGTCTGGGTGGAGGTAGAACCAGAGCACGCTGCCGTACATGAGCAACACCACGGTCAGGTGGGAGCTGCAGGTGGACAGGGCTTTGTGCAGAACTTGGGCCGAGCGCAGGCGGACAACAGTGACCCCAATGCGGGCGTAGGAGACCAGGATGAAGGTGAAAGGGACCACGGTCACCAAGAGACTCACGGTGGAGATCACCATCTCGTTGGCGAAAGGCCGGGTGCAGGGGAGGCGCAGCAGGAGTTGGAGGTTGCAGAAGAAATTCTGCAGGCGGTTGCTGCAGTAACGCAGCCGGGCGGCCATGACGGTGTGCAGCAGAGAATGCGGGATCACCACGGAGGGTGTGCAGCAGGGCGTGCGAGATCACCACGACCCAGAAGGCAGCCGCCATCTTGAGGCACAGGGACCGCGTCACCATGGCGGCGTAGCGCAGTGGGTTGCAGACGGCCACGTAGCGGTCGTAGGCCATGGCAGCCAGCAGGAAGCCCTCCATGTTGCCCACGGCGCAGCTGGTGAAGGGGATGGCCCAGTGCTGACTCAAGGTGTGCACCAAGGCCTGGGGCAGGATGATGGAGACCATGCCTATGTCCACCATAGAAAGCTGGCTGATGAGGAAATACATGGGGCTGTGGAGCTGGGGGTCGGTCCACACCAGCCCCACAAGCATGGAGTTGCCAACTAAGTTCAGCAGATAGGTGACCAGGAACCCCGCGAAGATCAGCTGCTGCAGGTCCTGGCGTTCAGACAGGCCCAGGAGCATGAACTCGGATATGGACGTCCAGTTGGTCTCGGCCATGGCAAGGGTCCACAGCAGCACCTGAGGGGGGAGGAGAAGGGAGTTGAAGGGAGGGCATGTGCTGACACATTAGGCCTGTTGCTCTTTGGGAGCCAAGTCCCGTCTGGACCTTTTGGAGCAATAGTTTAACAGCTCGATCTCGATTTAAAATGAAAGAACAAGATAATGGATGGCCTGCCAACTGCTCTTTGTCTGTGTAGATTCTTGCCTTAGTACCCTTCCTATCTAATTGCTATCCTATGAGCCTTATCTGCTTCTTTTAACTATCCAGTCTTTAGGTGCTTATAAGTTACCAGTTCTGCCCACTTGTTTTTCCTTTTGATATTTTCATACCCTCTGCTCCTTGTTTCCCTCCCCCTTCCTTTTTTTTCCTTCCCCCTCTCCCCTCTTTATTTTGGAAATGCACATCCTAAACTCAAAACTCCAGTCATCTGAAGAAGTGGGCTGTGCCCATGAAAGCTCATGATACCATCTACATGTTTTGCTAGTCTATAAAGTGCTACCAGACCATTTGTTGTTTGTTAAGTTTATCCTGTCTGGACTAAGAGGAGTACCCCCTGAAGCTTTCGATTTAAACTGTCCTACAATGCAGATGCCAACCCAACCCTGGCTCACTTCTTCTCAAGGTCACAGACTATCGCTGTAAAAACAGGCAGCGTCCCTCTGCTCTGACCGTGTGTTGCTGGGACTCACAGATTCTGGGCTCGGTGTTCCTCTGGTTGCCCGACTGACATGCTGGCCCTGGCCAGCCAACAGCCTTATCATCTTTGAACCCTGTTCTTGGGTTCCCCATTATCTTCTTTTGTCAAGGCTAAACAGGCCCCGTTTGTCTCCCCTTCCCTGCTAGAGCAGCATTTCTAACCCTTTCCCCGTTTGCTGCTCTGCCCGGACTCTCTCCGATTTTCCCACAGCTTGTCTAACGCGTGTGGCCCAGAAGTGACCACAGAGCTCCAGACGAAAGCTCACCAGCACCATGGACAGCAGGACACCCCCCTCCCGTGTCAGCCCCATGACGCACCGGTTCCCGCCCCAGCCTGGTAGTGCAGGATGGTCAGAGCTGCTTCTCTTTGCTGGCTCCCATTCACACTCAGCATGCTCACTACTCTTTGAGGATGGTCTTTGGACCACTTGGACACTCGCCTAACGGTAACTTCATCCAGACCGAATGGGAAGGGTCAAATATCCCTTCCTGACCCCTGCAGATTGCCAGCTGAATCTCTGAAGCAAGACACTGGATTCTAGTCACTGTTATCATACTGAGCTCCAAATGTGGCAGGCACGCCAAGGGAAATGCAGGTTATTAATAGCAAGGCCCATGCAGGGAGTAAATGGAGTCCAAGGCGAGACGGGAAGCAGGTCCTGAAATAACCATTCCCTGGAGAAACAGCCGAACTGGCATGGGGAAGGGGGTTGGTGAAGTGAAGAGGGCTCAGAGCAGAACGCCGGCAATGTCTGAAGTTCTGGAAAACCTGCCTGGTCAGGGGAGATGCCAGGCGCTCTCGCTAGTTAGTGGAAGAAGGAGAAGGCGAAAGGGCGAGTCGGTCCCAGGCTAGAAGGATCGACGGGGGAACAAAATTGCTCAGTGGATCTTGGTTCTAGCAGAGAACGGTCTGACCCGAGCTGCTGGCTGGAAGTGGCAAGAATGGCCCAGCGCGATTAGTTCATTGAAGACCCAGTGAAGAAGGGGCTTGGCACCAGCATGGAAACTTGCTCACAGCCCTTCATCTGCATCTGACTCCCCACACATTACAGAGGAAATGGGGCCTGAGCAGGGAGTCGGACTCCACAAAAACTCTCCTGTGGAGAGAGGACAGAGAGAGGAGTGGTGTATGCTGCGTAAGGGGAACTTATGATGCTAATAAGATGGGACAGAGAAAAGAGCTCGGGAGATTCTCTCCTCGCTGTTGCCTGTAACAGCAACAAGGGGGCAGCCCATGGAATGACAGTGGGACATTAAAAAATAGCTGAAAAGACGTAGCCATGCACTCAGGGACTGTGGAACTCATTGCCACAGGATGGTGTCAAGGCTAAAACGTATCGAGATTAAACGAGGGACTGGACGTTTCCAAAGCTACGAGGAATATCCAGAGTTAGAATCGCTTTAACTAGCTAACAGTTGTGGGAGGGGTATTAAACCTCATGCTCTGGGGTTTTGTGAAACCTCTTGCTTCTAGGGGCCATGAAGGAATTTCATGGGGGGGGGGCAGATTCCCACCTGCTTCTGCAGGTTCTGACACCTTGTCACATTTGCTCAGGTCAAGCATGGGAGGAGGCTTCTTTTGATTCATTCTGGCCATTTATACACCAGCCTCCCCCCTCTTTTAAACCACACACAAACACTCATGAGAAATCTTCCATTTCCAGCTTAGGGCTAAAATTTTGCCTCTTCCAACCCTCAACACATTTACACCCGCACAAGGCAGAAAATTCCCACCTGGTGGGCTCCCCACCCCCGTCCCTAGCTGGAAAACGTCTTTTTCGACAAAATGGGAAATGGCCCACCTTTATGGGGAATCCTCATCTTTCCCTCAGGAAAGCTCAGCGTCCCTCAGTTTGGGTCCAGCAAGCCCTAAAATCATGGGCCAGTAACAGGCCAGTCTGTGACGTCTTTGTACCGTACAATGGGATTTTGTAAGCACATCGTTTTGAAGAGAGGTGAAATTCACAGTGTGTGTGTGTTGGGGGGTGGGGGGAGGCAATACGAATCAGGCTCCTGAAAGGGGTCCGGTCACCTGGAAAGGCTGGAAGCCAAATCTAGAGATCTCCCCTCGTTTCATTTCTAGTGAAGCTCTTAACACAAACACCCCGTCTTGGCTGAGAAAAGTCAGGGGTAGTGAATTCACCACATCCAGTGGTTCCATCATGCAGCTTGTTAATCAAGTCATAGGAACATAAGACCGGCCACACTGGGTCAGACCAAAGGTCCATCTAGCTACCCCAGCATCCTGTCTGCTGACAGTGGCCAGTACCAGATGCCCCAGAGAAAGGGAACACAACAGGTAATCATCATGTGATCCCTCTCCTGTCATCCATTTGCAGAGATTCCTACCATTCCTACCCAGCCTGGCATTGATGGACCTAACCTCCATGAACCTATCTAGCTCTTTTTTGAACTCTGTTAAAGTCCTAGTCTTCACCACATCCACTGGCAAGGAGTTCCACAGTTGACTGCAGGCTGAGTGAAGAAAAACTTCCTTTGGTTTGTTTTAAATCTGCTACCTATTCATTTCATTTGGGCTACATCTAGATTGCATCCTTTTTTCGTAAAAGGGATGCAAATTAGATGTATCGCAATTGCTAATGAAGCTTGGGTTGAAATCTCCCCTGCTTCATTAGCATAACAATGGCTGCTGCTTTTTTTCAGCACGGAGCTTTGCCGGAAAAAAGCACCAGTCTAGACACGGATAAGGGATAAGGGATCTTTCGGAAAAGGCTTTATTTTTCGAAAGATCCACGTTTAGACTGGCGCTTTTTTCTGGCAAAGCTCCGTGCCGAAAAAAAGCGGCAGCCATTTTTATGCTAATGAAGCAGGGGAGATTTAAATCCCCGCTTCATTAGCAATTGCGATACGTCTAATTTGCATCCCTTTTACGAAGAAGGGATGCAATCTAGATGTAGCCTTGGTGAGCTCTAGTTCTTATATTGTGGGAATAAGTAAATAACTTTTCTTTATTCACTTTTTCCATGCCAGTCATGATTTTATGGAACTCTATAATATCCCCCCTTAGTCTCCTCTTTTCTAAGCTGAAAAGTCCCGGTCTTTTTAATCTCTCTTCCTATGGGACCCGTTACAACCCCCTCATCATTTTTGTTGCCATTTTCTGAACCTTTTCCAATGCCAAGAGATCTTTTTTGCGATGAGGCAACCACATTTGTACGCAGTATTCAAGATGTGGGCATCCCATAGATTTATAAGGAGCAATACGCTATTTTCTGTCTTATTCTCTGTTCCTTTATTAATGATTCCTAACATCCTGTTTGCTTTTTCACTGTCACTGCCCACTGAGTGGATGTTTCCACAGAACTCTCCACAAAGATGCCAAGATTTCTCTCTAGAGTAGTTGCAGCTCAATTAGTCCCCATCATATTGTATGTATCTTTGGGATTATTTTCCCCATGTGCATTGTTTTACATTGATCAACATTACATTTCATTTGCCATCGTGTTGCCCAATCACTCAGTTTGGTGCGATCTTTTGGAAGCTGTACTCAGTCGGATTTGGTCTTAACGATCTTGAGCGCTTTAGTATCAGCTGCAAATTTTACCACCTCACTGTTTATCCCTTTCTCTAGATCATTTATAAATAGGTTGAATCGGATGGGTCCCAGGACTGACCTTTGCGGGATTCCACTAGTTACCTCTCTCCACTCTGAAAACTGGCCATTTATTCCTACCCTTTGTTTCCTGTCTTTTAACCAGTTCTCAGTCCAGGAGAGGACCCTCCCTTTTATCCCATGACAACTTACTTAAGAGCCTTTGATGAGGGACCTTGTCAAACCTACACCTTTGTTTCCAGGCCAATTTGGTATGACTTCAGCTTCCGGCCATAACATGTCCCCTCCCACCTGCCCCCTTCCATGTCACCCCAGATACCCATAATACAGAACATTTGTAATGAATGTGAAGGACCCTAAGGAGAATTCCCCTGAATTCAATTCAGTTGCCAGAGGGTGGAACGGAAAATGGCCTCTTCTCTCCACGACAAGCCTGGGAAACATTGGATAAAAAGTCTCCGTTTTGCACGGATCTTTTTCAGGGGCTGAGCAAGACACACGTCCCCACTGCGAGCTCCCAGATTGAGCCCGGGCACCAGGGAGAACCGGTCTCTTCTGGAAATCGATGCTCCTAGGGAAGGGGACGAGGGAGACAGACGCTGGGTGTCTGGAGATCGCCCTTCTGTGTGCGTGGGAATGACACGGAGTGGAGACAGAATTTAGTCGAAGTGGGGACCCTGCGGTGCTCAGGGTCCTTCTCCGGACACTGTCAAAACACCTGGCTAGCCAGTGCGACACATGAGGTAGCAGATGGAGGGGCCGGGTTGGGTGAGGGACTGTCAGAGGCGACTGCGGGTGGGGAACGTCTTTCTGTTCAGAGTCAGATACCAGACTGAGCAGAGGGACGGAGGGGCACAGAAGACGTGGGGGTTCTTCCCTGCTGTCCTGCTTCCCAATCCGTCCTGGGCCCTGCCCCTACATGCCTCCCTCCAGCTGGCATTGCCATCCCAGCCTCTCCCTTGTGGTGCCCCCGACACACACCCTGACTCCCAGCCTCACCTTGGACAAGGACTCCTGGCACCCGCCTGTCCCCGGCATCTGTAGACGAACGGCCGCTGCATGAGATGAACCCCAGCAACCAGGCCCCGGGGTGGCAGAGCCGGCCTTAATGAGCCCCTGGGGGACTGTGACTGAGAAAACATTCATTAGCGCTCAGATGAGATGCCCCACGCCTGGGAGGCCCGGGGAGGGGGGGTCTCTGAGGCCCATGGGCTCCCGTCATCGTGTCTCCTCCTGGACCATCAGAAGCAGCCAGAGGCCAAGTCTACTAAATCTCTCCCCTGTGCTGGCCAATCCCCACACACTGGTAACTCACAGACATTCCACTTCCTCCCGCAAAGAGGCAGTGTGCCTCAGTTTACCAGTTAATTGCCCCCATCACTAACACACTCCAGGGCCTCCCAACAAGCACCCTGATGGATCATGAAGTAAGAACTGAGGGTTTCCC